TTGGTTATCACGTACATGCAGCTGTTTCACATTCACCAGGCGGTCAAACACTCCAGCGGGTAGAGATGCCAGCATTCATATTTCATGTCAAATAATTATCCATTATCACGACCTTCGCCATTTTTAGCGGTATTGAACGAGTAGGAAATGCTCCAAGTCCGTGTTCTCTTGGCGGCGGTTAGAGAGGGGGAGGGCCACTCGCTCAGACTGGACGGGGATTTGGCCTCATTGGAGGCGACTTTGCCCGAGTTCGGCTCGAGCCACTCACCGACTGAGACGCAGGCCGGGTGAACGAGCGCAGTCCCAGGGGTTGTTGAACAGATAGATGGCTGGGATCGGCTCGCGCCAATCACAGAGAACACGCAACAGTGACTGATGATGAACCATATGCATGCATCATAGACACATAAATCACACTGAGATTACTTTCTATTTTATTCTTGCGTATGCCACTTCCATTTAAGAAACAATACCATTCATAACTCCCTCGCTTTCACAGTACGATTTTGTGATTCTTCGGGTCTACCATCGCGTGTTTCCAGCAAAAACAACAAGTCAATGTTACTTTAGCGAGGTCTATACACATAATATTAAAACAAAAGTTGGTTTAACGTGCTGCTTGATAATATATACGTGATATGCTAACGTTTAATGTAATGGCCTTTCTTTAGAGGAGAGATAGGGCAGACTGATGTATGGTTGAAGCAGGGGTCCCACAATGAGGCACCTTGCAACCCCTAGAGAATCTGCAGTGGCCACATGAACCCAGTCTCCCATTGGATAGCAAACAACATCCCCCGAGAAGTGCGATATCGATAGAGAAACGTCTAATTTATGATATGGACTAAATACAACGACAAAAAATATCGAGTAATACAAAAACATTGCTGTTAATTTAATGTGATATTGTATGCCAATTATAACGGATGTCGAAGCAAAATGCAAACGGAGAGCTGATGGCAAATTCTGGGACTGCTGAACAGGTGGAAAGTTCCTGAGACTCATGTACTTAGTGAAGTTGCGATTTGTAAAGAGCCTGTGTGTGAGGACACTCGAGGGCTTAGATGAGGGTTCGGTTTGACCAATGGACCCATCATACACACGCTTATCGGGCTGTGTAAATTCACCACTTCGCCTTGGCTAAACAATGACGTCACAGTTCCTTATAAACGTGCGTCATGCACCCAGACTGCATGTGCTCATAAGCAAATCCTGGACCTGTGTAACGGTCTCCAGCTGAGATTTTGCAGCACCATTCGCGTCAGTTTGGTCAGTTTGTGATGGACAAGTTTAGTTCCTTTAGACTGACTAGGAGATCGGGTCCGCCATGGGGTATATCATTTAACTGATTGTCACAGAGAAAGTCACGAGAGCCAGACTGGCAAACGCCCCTGCAGGCAACATTGCTATGCCGGGATCCAGTAAGTTCCCTGCAGTCACAAAAACTTCAAATCTAGATTAGCTATGTCTTACTTTTGGGTAGTTCCAGGCGTGGTTCAGAGGAGGAGGATGGGAGAAAATCTGGGTCACGTGACTTTGATTGTTCAGGACCAGAAGTGGCATCCTCTTACTCGTCTAACTCAAGTGAGGATGATTCTGGTACATCAGGACCCGGCAGTCCTTCTCTGTGGGGTACTGGGTGTAAAGCTGATAGAATGTTTGGATAATGAACCGTCCACTTTTTCTTCTTTGACACACCTTTCCCAACTGGAGGCGCCATGCAGAAGTAACAATTACTGATATAATATGTTGGCTCTCTCCACATCATTGGCACCGCAAAAGGCATACATTTCCTTTTCCTGTTCAACCACTGGTGAAGATTTGATCATAAGTGTTGCAGCATATGTATGGGGCCCACTTCATGTCCTGATCTCCAATTTTGCAGCCAAAAAAGGTGATAGGTTTTCTTAACCATAATGGTTAAACTGCAATTTGTGATGCAAAAGTCACTTCACTACAAACATAGCAGAACTTATCTTCTTTGTTCACACAAGTACGAGGCATCTCTGCTCACTTTGGCTAAATATTAACGTGACTCTTTGGAAAATCAAACACTGACAAATAAGAGAGCACAGCACTGCATGATTTCTGGAGCTGAAATAGAACAATTTGTTTTGCAGAAGGATGCCAGCCTAGCTATGATTGCATCATCCATGACTTCTAGGAATAACATGATGCAATTCATATCATGTATGACGCAATACCAGGTTCAGATTGCATCATTCATTGTTTGACTCAAAAAGCAAATACTGTCCAAACCCAGTCATATATTTATTCAAAGATCCAGTCAAATATATATTTTAGAAGCTTCTGTTAGAAAGTCCCCTTCTCAACTGAGATTGCTCTTCTGCATCATTCTTTAAGTTTACAGCCCATTTAACCCAATGGAGTGAGGACATCCTCCACAGAGCTCAATGAGAAAATCCCACCCTTCAGGTGAACTTTTCTTATATCATCTTTAACCAAGCCCTAATCCTCCTTGAGGACAAACTTAACTCCATTCGTGGAAAATACCTCAAGTCTATTGGACTACCAACACCCTCCAGGGAGAACCTGCATCTCCTTGCCCAAGAGATCATATGTAAAATACCTACTATAATCACCCAGGAATGTCCTTAACGCTCGTGACGTTGTAGATGCTTACCCCGAGCCCTCATTACCGCCAAGAACAGCCAAGGCCATACACTGCAGACAATTGGAATCTTCAATCCTCATTAGCAGTAGGTTACATTTTACTATTGAATTTAAGTATCTTAGCTTAGCCTTCATAGGTTACAATTGAATCCCGATGGCCTCCAAGCCCTCCACAGGAGCTAAGAGATTAGGACCCGTATATCCCTCATCCTACATCATCATTATCAATGTCACGGATCAATCTCTGGGTATATAACATCAGTCGAGTGTATTTACAAATGATATCACAAGGCTATAAGTCACATCAAGAAATTGCCATTAAAAATAAAGCGTCCTTTATTTAGCCGCACCACATGACACAGGGATCGACTTCTCAAACACCCATCGGGGAGTCTTTCTATTTTATTTCTGTCCAAATTCAGGATATGGGTGTGATGCGCGATTACAGAGGGAACTGACCTCAGTCTTTTTACTTCAAAGTTCGTCCTTTGGAGTCCAGAACGCACGCCACATGGACACTCTGAGGGACTCGTGGCTCCACGTGCTCCCAGTCTGAGCAAGACCCAGAGAGTCCAGCACAGACCTTGCCTCCTTCAGTACTAAATCATCTCTACTCTACCACTATCATCACCATCAACCCACTCATAAAAACGCATACAAATTTTACAATAAATATGCATTACATAGCACAGTATTAATATTCACAATACATTGATTAATAACACCTATTAATATATATGTACGTATAAAATCATCGGCGAACGCAACAATTTCTAATAACAGCAGTGCATTTATAAAAAGCAAACACATTTTTTTACCAAAGAAGTATGAGGCGTACCTTTTTTGATTCTTGATTATTCAGAATTACAAGTGGTAATACGAGTGCAACTGAAACGCAGCAAATTGTCTCAGCGGGGAGTACAAGTGGTTGTGTGCTTTAGCCGCATTAATTTGCCTAAACGCTTGCGTGCGCACCATTCTGTAACAGTATGGGTTGCACTGCTCTACAAGGGTTCCGAATGGATGCTTTGTCTTATGACGTGATACGGCTAATCACCATCTAAATAACATTGGGATAAATGACAACAAAAATCACCAAAAAGGCGAAAAGAGTGATGCATCTACCGCCCCATTTTCTTCTCCCATATATCTTCTCCCATATATCTCCAAACTCTTAAAACTCCTGGTATACTTTTATCTTACACACTACATCTCTTCTAACTTCCTCTACCCTCAATTCCAATCTTGTTCTCATCCCTCTCATTCAACTGAAACTGTTTTTCTTTAGATTAAGAATATTCTGGCGAAGTCTGCTCATGCTGGTCTCTCTTCTATTCTTATACTCCTTGATCTGTCCTCAGATTTCGACACGGTTCCCAATCCTACTCTTCTCTCTACTCTCTCTTAACTTTGTATTTCCGGCACACCACTTTCCTGGCTACAGTCCTATCTTTGTCTGCGCACCTCTGCGGTCTCATTCAATCATTGCCACTTCCACCCCAGCCCATTTCACTGTTGGTGTTCCTCAAGGGTCTGTTCTTGGTTCCCTACTTTTCTCTCTCAATATTTAGCAACTCGAATCTCTCATTTCTTCGCTCTATTTTCCCAAAAATTTCATCGTGGATGACATCCAGATGTTTTTCTCCTTTCCTTCCTTTTTCCCTATCATCGTTTCCCGCTTGTCAATAAGCCTGGTCTCCATCCAATCTTGGATGTAATGGCACTTTCTGTCCATCAACCCTTTCAAAACCCAATTTATATTTTCCCCTGCCTCTCGTTCCCCTTCTCCCTGTCCCAACAACTCTTACCCTCCTTTTCTATTTCTCCCATTTCCTCAGCCCGCAATATTGGTGTTATTTTAAAGTCTTCCTTTTCTCTTACCGATATTTCCGCCACTACCCGCACTTTCTCTTGTTTAACATTCGCTAATTCCGACCACTTATTTCAACCCCTGCTACAAATCCCATGCCTTCCTTATCCATACTCGTCGATTCCAGAATCGGTTCTTGACTTAGGATTCGATGGCTGAACGATGTTAATTCAGATTCCGATTCAAAACACAATACACGGTTGTTATTTTGTTATAGAATAATCATTACTGGATTAAACCAGCATGGATATTTAAAAATAAAGTAATAAAAACGTATTATGTATAGAAACAGAATGCACATTAACCGAGAGCAATGCAAGTGCAAAAAGATACTAATAATCACAACTGACACAAAATAACCGCTTTATCAAAATCATCACAGTTCCTTAATGATTGAGTATTTCAAGAGGCGAGGTCTGTGATGGAGTCTCTGAGTCTCGCTCAGAGCTGGGAGCACACGGAGCCGCGGGTCCCTCGCAGTGTTCGTGCTTCATAGGTTCTGGACTCCGTTATACGAACTGTGATAGCAAAGGACTGAGTTCAGTTCCTTCTGGGATCCCTGACAACACCCAGGCCCTGCAATTGCAAGGCAATCGCATAAAGAGGCTCCCCGATGGATTGTTTGACGCAGTGGGGTCTCATCCCCCCGCTTTATGCAGAACTCGATCCCTGTGTCACATGTTGTGGTTAAATAAAGGACACTTCATTGCAAATGGGAATTGCGTCTCCAAGTGGGGGGGGGGGGGGGGGGGGGGTTAACCATACCTCACCACGCTTGTCAGTGCGGGCTGGAGAGGTGTGGCGGAGTTGGCGGGGATGACGCCTGGTTTAGAACCTATTGCGTTAACCCCCAGGCCACAGCTGTTCCCCAATGTATTCTATTTGTGAGCAACAAATCACTCTTCACCTCATCCAGTATATGAGTATAACAGCCAAATTACAAAGGCTTAACACAATTGTCAGCTCTATCCACCGTGGTGTTTTATAAACTCACCCAGCTCACTATAGCCGAGCCATGAATGCTTTGTTACATGCTTTGTCTTCGTGTTCTTCACCTTTTGGCATGTTTTCATCTACCACTGTTGAGACAAGGCCGTAAAGGGAGCTGTCTCTGGAGTATGGCAAACAGTAGCCCCAACCATGGGGAGACAACCATCCGAGGACCCAATCAAAACCATCACCTTGCCATACATAGAAGGTGTTACCAAAAAGATTTCCAAATCTTAAACAAACAAGATCCAGGTCCGACTCAATGCAGTACACAAAATAGCTTGCGCCAGAGGAGCTACGATGGGGCAGAGAGCTCAGGAGTGAGAAGAATAACCACGTGGGTTTATTTCTAACCTCATGAGAGGTAAAGAGACAGTTACCTGATTTTGAGCAGATATTGTGGACACTGTAGATGTGAGTATGGATATCATAATCATAAAGTAGTATTTTACTCGGATATATTATGTTATTCAACTCAGTCACAAATATAGAATGCAATATTTAACGCAAAGGCTTTGATTTAATTACGGGATACGTATTTAATATTTCATTGGGGGTCGTGGTCGACATGTACCAGGGTGTTGAATGTAGCCTCCTACATTGAGTCGCGTACCCGCGGGGTAGCCGCAGGTCACTCGCCGGGGGGGGGGGGGGGGGGTCGAGTTCAGGTTGGAACGCAGCCGCTGCTGCTGATAGTGATTCGCGTTCAGGGCAAGTCCATCGCGGGTCATCAGCGGGTGACCCGCGATGATAACTTTCTAGGAACTGGGCAACACAACGCTTTCCTACGTTATTGGACCGTGTGGGCGGAGACGCGTTGCTCAGCATGTGCTTCAAGCCGAAGCGACCACGAGGGAGAGGTAGAATCGAACCAGCCGCCTCTGGATGGCCAGTCCAGCATCCTAAGCGTTATACCACAGCAGCTCCCTTAGGACGGACTTCTGGGTTAGTTTTCCAAGCACCCCGGCGGGTAGAGCCGACACCTCGTTGATGTTTAGAAACAGCTTCTGCAAATTTTCCTTGTTGTCAAAAACCCCTCCGGGAGAGCTGTAAGCTGGTTGTCACCTAAGTTCAGATAAGTAATTTGTGCCAGACTGTTAAACACCACAGCGGGGAGGACTGTGAGTTTATCAGATCACAAATCGCAGATAAACAGCATAGAGTTGGGTATGCTTTGGAATTACACAGAGAACTGATGGATGAGAAAACGGAGGCAAAATACGACCAAGTTTGGAAGACGTCATTCAATAGTGAAGCAACACTGGCTGATGATGATGATCAAAGGATACAGCTGATTATCAAAACGATACATATTTGAGAGGCGTACTGTACACCGACTCAGACTGACTCACACACTCGCTGACTGACACACAGACTGATTCACATACTAACTCGCTGGCTCACACACCGATTCACTGACTCACACACTGAATCGCATACTGACTCGCTGACTCAAACACTGACTCACAGACGAACAATCGAAGATTCCTACGATGCTGGTACATTCAGCAACATTCTGCTGGTGGAGTCTTTAAACATTTTACTTTTCATTATTTGTATTGTTTATTCTCTGGTGGGGCGGCACCTCATCCAGCAGTGGATGTGTATTGAGAGCCTATGTCTGGCTCACGTGGTGATCGGGTCTGCCGGTCCTGCTCTACAGCCAATTGGGGGAGAGCCTGGGAACATGGCCCTTGCGTGATCGAGGGATGTCAGCTAGGGTGATTGGTTCTGCTGGTCTTGGCCTCAACCTGATATGGTGTCTTTACAATTGATGACGAGGTAAGACTTGGGCAAATGTAGTCAATTAATATTAATATTGAATTAAATTAGATGACTACATTCACGAAGCGATTAATCGATAAATTCGCTCACGAAATATCGTGGCAAATTGTGCGTGTAAAGAATGTTGTATAGACGTGGTCGATAAAATGACAATTAATTCATGGGGAAGTCAGCAGTGGTTGTCCTTTGGAAAGACTCGCCCCCGGTTTATGAACGTGAAATTTCCACCACTCATTCAGCGCTGTACACAAGAGATTAGCACCAATGCCGCGATCCTCATTTGAGCAGAAAATAACTTTGATTCGCAATACAATACATTTCCCTTGAACAACAACAAATGGTGGTGGTGTCTACTCTCGGTAACGCCATATTTACGTCTCGCCTGTTCTGACATCCGCACAACAAACTCTACACTACAAACTCTATACACGGGAACAGCTTAAACATATCAGCCATCTCAATCCACTGCTGGACCATACTGCCATTGTCGTCATCATCACCACCACATTATCATCATCATCACAGCCATCATCACCATCATGGTACCCGTAGCCACCATTGGACGCGGTGCAGTCTCTGTGGTGGATCTGATCACATGCAGCTGCTGGGTGGATTGTTGCATCGCAGGGTCGTGGAAGATGGCGACAGCTACTGCCAGCACCACTAGAGAACAGACGCTCCCCGTTCTATGTCTTAACGCGTTAAAGGGACATGGATTGCGCAATGACAATAAAAATGATGCACGAGTTGGTTTAAGTTTGGAAATTAATATGAAGAGTAGCTGATAACTTGATATGATGACTTTATCACTATAACCGTATTGAACCCCTCCAGGGCAGAGCGCTTTCCCGAGTTCGGCTCTCGCCACCGGCTGAGAAGCAAATGGCGTGGACCAGCGCAGTTCGACAAGATGGCCGACAGCGAGCGCAACTCCATCCACGAGGTCATGGAGCAGCAGATCATCTCCATTGCGCATGGTGCTCTGTGGAGGGGGTAGAGGCTGAACGGTAGCGGTGGGGTCGCGAGTCGAAGCGACGATTATGTTTGGCTGGCAATCGCTTTGATGGAATGTCGATGTTCGGCTTAGACCAGGATTTTTCAACAGTTCAACTAGTGGAATATGAGGTAGCTGTATTGTATTCGTTTGTCGGACATAGATGAATAATGCATATTTACAGACATGGAAGACAAAAGCATGTTAAAAAGCGTAACTATCCACACGTATGTGCTGTTTTTACAAGCTTTTTCTCTCTCTCCACCGCGCCTCCCTTCACCAGGATGGCATCATGACGATTATCAAGGCGTGCTGCTCCATCCTAGTGGACGCTAACCCTGCGTATGGCTGCTCCAACTCCAAGACGTTGGTGGAGCAGAACTTGCTTAAAATTGCGATGCGAGTAGAGGCAGCTGCGTCAGTGGCACGCACCCTTGGGGATGCTCTTCAGTTGGTTGAGGTCCAGACCCAGATGAGTGAGCTGGGTCAGTTTGTCGAACACCCCTACGGATAAAGCCAACAGCTGGTTTTCCCCCAGATACAGCTGCTGCAGATTTACCAGGCGATCAAACACCCCGGGCGGGTAGACTCGTTAGCTGGTTGGTACTAAGGTCCAGAACAGTAAGTTGTGTCAGTCTGTCAAACAACCTAGCGGGGAGGACTGAGTTCATCACTGAGCACGAATCACAGATCAGCACCCTCCACCTCTTGTTGTAGAGGAGCCTCTACAAGAGAGCGTCGCTCTTCACACGGCAGTGGAGTTCAACACGGGTCCCTTTGTCGCGTTAGCGGCGTTGTGTTCACCTTGCATCTCGGTACCTCGCTCCATGCCGTGCGCAATGTCTGTGTGGGGCAGTACAGCGATCGGCAAGATGTTTAGAGCTCGCAAAGCATTCCCTCTGGAACATTTTGATCAGTCTTCTTGGTTCTTTCGGTAAAGTCACGTAGAAGGGAAGTAATAAAATAATAAAAATAAAACATAATAAAATAAAATAATTCTCACGACGTTTCGGCTACAACGCAAGCAGCCGTCTTCAGGTGAAGAATGAGACACTGCCAAGCTAGGAGCTTATATATAAGCTGCGTTGGAGGTGGAAGAAGAGCGCCTTAACAAAAGAATGTGCATATGAAGAGGAATTTAGCATATTCATGGAAAATGCGTAGGAGGTGGGCGGGGGGGTTTCAAAGTCATATTATGCCCATGCATTATGCAGGATCAACAGCACCAAGGGGGGGTGCAGGGATTAGCAGTAACAAAGGAAAGGAATGTTAATGATATGTAGCTGCAGTTACTCAACAACCACGTAGAAAACTAAAGTATAAACTACATAAAAAAACTAAAGTATAAATTGCATAGCACCATCAGTATACTTACTATACTCTACAATAAGCTGAGTTACTAACAGCAAGTAATACATTACAATTCTACGTCGTAAAAATTATATAATATGCTTCCATCTAAACTTTATTCTATTGCATCACACGAGCATATACCGTACTATATACTGCCAACATTAAATTATATACTGTATTGCTGTAAACCAACCTATACCTTATACATTTAATATAACACTATGTATTATTCTACCCACCCTAATGTGTGTCGAAATGGTTTATTACGTCCTTCCAATGATTGCTAAGCCAGAATCCATCTTCTCGGTTAAAATTGTCTCTGTGTTTGTATATGTGGATCGCCTCATGAACGAATCTCTCATGATAGCCAGATGGCTTGCAGAGAACCTCTGTCTTGGAGAAGTCAATATCATGTGAGCCCACTGAGTTGTAACAGTGATCTGCCACGGCTGAGGTGTTTGTCCTACCGTGTTTCAGGTCAGCTTTATGTTCACGGATGCGGTCCGAGACATG